GGCTTCCCCTACCTCAGGCAGTGAGAACTTGTTCCGCTTCCATGACAAGACCCCAGGGTTCGCCAAGAGTAGCTCCCTCAGCAGCGCACGCCTGTCTGTTTTGCTGTCGCATCGCTCGACGTTGGTTACTAGTGATCGCTTTCCGCCCGTTCTCCTTTCCCATCAAGGGTGCAATTATTAGAGGCATATTTTATTATTTCATGTGCATGTGTGTCTTGCCTGAATGCATGTCTCGCGTACCGTGTGTGTGTGTGTGTGCGCGCAGTGTTCTCAGAAGATAGCGCTGCATCCCCGGAACTGGGATTCCAGGCAATTAGTGGTTTTTGAATCTCTTGTAGTCCGGGTTCCTGACCTTGAACTCTGAATTCTGCATTTAACTCCACAATGCTGGGATTACAGGCTCTTGCCATCCTGCAACAGTGTTATTAGGCTAGGAGTAATAGCACATGCCTGTAATCCCAACACTCAAATGGTTAAAGCATGAGGATTGCAGTAAATTGGAGGCTAGCCCGAGTTAGAATGACACCATCTTAAAAACACAAAACCAAACCTGCTTTTGACACGTCTTCTTTCTGCTCTTACAGATTTAGAGGCTCCTGCCTCTATCTTCTCTCTTTTAAAAAAATTAAATTAAAAAGCAGGGCGTGATGATGAACGCTTTTAACCCCAGCGCTCGGGAGGCAGAGGCAGGCGAATCGCTGAGTTGAAGGCTAGCCTGGTGTCTGTATATAGCAAGTTCCAGGCCAGCCCAGGATACATGGTGAGACCCTGTCTCAATAAAACAACAGCAAAAACAGATTTGGTGATGAATAATTGACACAGTTAAGTGTACAATTTGATAAAATTCTACAAGAAATTATCACTACAATCAAGGCAATGAACAAATTCATTAACCCCAAGTCCCTGGCAAGCTTGTTTTATTTTTTGTTTTTTTTCCTGTGTCTGACCATCACACCTTTTAACTGGAGTTGTCTCTAGGTTGGTTCCAGGACTCTCCATACCTATAATAAAACCAGCAGATGTTCAAGACCCGTTTATAAAATGGTATATGTTTGTATATAACATAATCCTCAAGTATGCATTAAATTCATGCAATACCTAACAAAATGCAAAAAAGTATATTTTTTTAGAGTTTAATAAAATTTTCAGTATAAATATAATTTTATTTCCAAATATTTTGAAATATTTCTAGATTCCTTCTTTGGTTGGTTGAGTCCACAAATGTGGAAGCCAAGGATAAGGATAGCTGACTGCACTGGCCGGCTTTGTCAATACCAATGTATTGTATTCAGCTTATATTTTGTCTTTGTCTGTACAAGCTGAAGTTCTACACAATGTGCACTTAGCTTCTTTTGGCCTAGCTACTTTCATAACTGCATAACTATTATCTCCCAAGCAATATGACCCATAGGTCACTGAAACAGAGCCTTTTCAACAAAACTGACCCAAACAGTGTTTCTCTAACAAGTTTTGGGGTGCTGATAAACAATCTTCAGGCACTGGGTACTCCCTCCCTATCTTGCAGGACTAGGAGAAACAGGTTTTTAAATGTTTTAATTGAGCCGGGTGGTGGTGGCGCATGCCTTTAATCCCAGCACTCGGGAGGCAGAGGCAGGAGATCTATGTGAGTTGAGACCAGCCTGGTCTACAAGAGCTAGTTCCAGGACAGCCTCCAAAGCCGCAGAGAAACCCTGTCTCGAAAAACCAAAAAAAAAAAAAAAAAAAAAATGTTTTAATTGCTGGCCATGGTGGCACATGACTATCACTAGGGATGTGGAGGCAGGCACCTCTCTGTGTATTCAAGGCCAACCTAGTCTACATATCAAACTCCAGGCCAGCCACGACTACATAGTAAGAACCTGTCTAAAAAAAAAAAAAAAAAAAAAAAAAAAAAAAAAAAAAAAGGTTTTAATACATATGTTATAATAGATATCCTGTCAAGATTTCAGGGATATGAACTAACCTGTGAAATCATTCAATAAACATTTTTTTATTTCAACTGGAGCTATACATTTCATGCCTTTAGTGGCTTTGTAGTCTAGAAGGTAGGACAACAAGAAAATCAAAATATAATGAAAGTACTTTATTTCTTGGGAACTTTTTGTAACTCCAATCCTTTTTGTACCTATAGCAAGTGTTTTTCTCCTTTCATGGATGATATAGGAATAAAATGGTAAAAATAAGCTTCTGAATTCTGGTAAATTGCAAAACTTAAAGTGGGAAGTGGTGAATGAGAATAATCCATAAACTCACGAAAATACATTTCTAATATTCAGCTATCAGACAGCCTTGAAGTTTATCCATGCTCCCCAAAAGTCATTCTGAAGACTAAATTTATTAAATAAAAATATTTATTAAGTGACCAAGAATGTGTCAGGAATAGCTGGGTGTGGTGGCACAGGCCATTAATCCCAGCACTTGGGAGGCAAAGGCAGGGAGTTATTAGAGTTTGAGGCCAGCTTGAATAAGTCAGACACAGTTCTATTTAATGTCAGTGATTGTCTTAATTAATGTTTCTATTTCTGTGATGAAACACCATGGCAAAAGCAGCTTGGGGAGGAAAGAGTTTATTCCCCTCACAATTCCATATAACAGTTCATCATCAAAAGCAGTGAGATCAGGAACCTAGAGGCAAGTGCTGATGCAGAGGCCGTGGAGACATGCTGTTTACTGGCTTGTTCCATATGGCTTGCTAACCTTTCTTTTCTTTTTGTTTCTGTTTTGTTTTGTTTTTTTGAGACATGATTTCTTCTCCGTGTAGCTTTGTAGACCAGGCTAGCCTCAAATTCACAGAGATCCTTCTGCCTCTGCCTCCTGAGTGCTGGGATTAAAGGTATGCGCCACCACCACCTGGCTTCATTCAGCCTTCTTATACAACCCAGGAGCACCAGCCCAGGCATGGCACCACCCACAAAGGGCTGGACCTTCCCCCATCAATCACCAATAAAGAAAATGTCCTACATACTTGCCTGCAGCCTGATCTTATGGAGGCATTTTCTTTCTTCGTTCCTTTCTTATAATATTTTTAAATTTAGCACAATTTCTTTATTGATTCTTTGGAAATTTCACATCATGCACCCTAACTCTGCTAACCTCTCAGTTCCCGAATATCCTCTTAATCCTGCAGTATATCCCTCCCAAATAGTTTTTAAAAAATCAGATGAAAGTTTAAAAAAATCAAACAAAGACAAAATAAAAACCTTCACTCTTCCATCTTTCCTTCCTCTCCAACACCTCTTCATTGTCCTGATGGTCACACAGTACGCTTTCGACCAATCAACTTTACTGGCAAATGTTCATTGCAATGAGACACTGGTCTGTTTCAGGGCCTCTGGTTTCTGGTACACTATCATTACTGGATCCTCACTGAAACTCATCTCCAATATCCCAAGGCCAGCAGGTAACTTTCCACAGGAACAGGTCCTAGATGGGGTAGATGTTAGGGTGGGCCAACCCAGGGCCTGGCTGTGGGCCTGGGTAGTAGCTGAGTTGGTTAGTCTGGGTCACTGGGGCACCCTCTCAGGTGGGGGGTGGAGCCAACTCCCTACACCTATGGAGGCATTTTCACAATTGAGGCTCCCTCCTCTCTGGGACTTTAGCTTGGGTCATGTTAACATGTAACTATTCAGCACAGTGATGAACAGGAATGATAAACTGAGTGTTTCAGAAAATGTTTGGTAAACAGTTCTTTCTCCAACACCTCTTTGTTTTAGGGACTCTTTTCCATTTTGGTCAATGACATGTATATTTCCCATCCTCACTGCATCTCATTATCCTCCCGTGGCAATTATTTAAAACAGTTTAGTTCAGGGCTGGAGAGGTGATTGTGTGGTTAAGAGCACTGCTGCTCTTTCAGAGGACCCAGGTTCAATTCCCAGCACCCACATGACAGTTCATAGCCATCTGTAACTCCAGTCCCAAGTTCCTCTTGTGTGTATCAGGTACACTCTGGTACACAGACATACAGACAAAACACCCAAACACATAAAATAAAAATAATAATTTAAAAAAGTAAAAATAGGCGAGCAGTAGTGGTGCACTACTTTAATCCCAGCACTCGGGAGACAGAGGCAGGCAGATCTCTATGAGTTCGAGGCCAGCCTGATCTACAGAGTGAGTTCCAGGACATTCAGGACTGTTTCACAGAAAAACTATGCTTCAAAAAACCAAAACAAAAAATAAAAAAGTAAAAATAAAGCAGTTTAATTCAAACTTTTCAGAAGTTGCCAAAATGGTGATTGCTGCAGAAGCCCAGAGATCTAAGTTCCTTCCCTGGACCCAGTGTTAAGGTAGAAAGAGAGAACACACACACACACACACACACACACACACACACACACACACACACACACACACAAATACTAAGAATTTTAAAGATGAGCCATCTCTCCATCCCACTCCTTATCTTCTATACTACAATAATAATCATAATCAGAATACCAAATTGATGGAGGAAGTGCTTCTGTGTATGTGTTTGTCTTATTGGATGATAAATAAAGTACTGTTTAGCAAATGAGGCAGCATGTTAGGTGGGACTAGGAGTCAAGGAGGATTCTGGGAAATGTAGTAAAGAAGCGGTGATCCTGGCAGGAAGTGAGATAGCAGGCAGACTCATATAAGCAAGGGAAGAAAGGAAGTCGTCCCTTTTCTCTTGCTCTTCCTCTCTGCTCTGGAGTGGCCAGGTGATCCCAGCTAGAGAAGACACCAGCAGCTGCTGACGTCCTCTAAGTCTTTTAAAATATATAGACTATGGTTACCATTGATAATTAAGACTGAGGTAGCAAATAAGAAATCCTGGTCATTGGCCAAGCAGCATTTGTACCTAATATAAGTCACTGTATTATTTTGGCAGAACTCGGGCAGCTGGCAGAAGGTGCCCATGTGGCAGCAGGGCTCGGGCGGCTTTGGAGTAAAGATTTATTGTTACAGCATATTTAAAGGTGGTGTCCTGTGGGAGGTCTTTAGGTCATGAGGGCACTGACTTTTGGTTATCTGGAGTGGGTTCTCATAAGAGTGAGTAGTGCACAAGAGTAGTCAACTATAAGAAGAATGAACCCACAGTGAAGATAAACACTACTGACACCATATTAGCTAGCCTCACTAATACCCTCAGTGTTTCTCACCTTCCAGGTATCCTTACCCTATGGTTGACAATCTCACATTGAATAGGGTTGACCTCATGTTCTCAATGGGGTATTGTAGAAATGACAGTGCATGCCTTCTGAGGCTTGATCATAAAGAACACTTTGGCTTCCATCTTTCTCATTTAGATCACTCATTCAGAGAAAGCTGCCAATCTGCCCTTCAAAAAGTACACATGACGACTAAGACCTCCTGCCAATAGCCTGTGCCTGCTTGCCAGTCATGTAGGTAAGCCATTGTGGAAAGCTTCAGCACCCTCATTAAGTCCAAAAACCTCTTAGAGGAAATCAGCTAAGCCATTCCCAACACTCTTACCCTTGGAACTGTGAAAAATACTGTTTACTGTTCTTGTAAGCCTCGACATTTTGGGATAATTTACATAGCAATATCTAACTGATAAAATTATGGTATGACTAAATCATTATTTCATGGTATAATCTAATTACAACTGGGGATGTTTGGAAATCATCAAGGCAGTTGAATTACAATTGAGTCTTATGAAATTACACAACAAAAAGGGCATTCCTAGACAAGAGCATAGTGTAGAAAGGCATAACCAACCCACATCGATCCTTTTAAGTGGTAAGAAGCCTGGATTCTTGTAATGAGCCCAAAAGAATTACCCAGAATTAATGTAAAAAGAATTGTACTTTAAGCCACTCCTACACTGAAAATCCTTCTGTGGTGCTTGTTGCTCTCATAAACAAGTTTGAGCCAGGCATGATGATGCATACCTTTAACACTGTAGTGAAACCCTGTTTCAATAATACATACATACATACATACATACATACATACATAAAAACATCCACATACCTTAAAATCTTTGTATTTCAGCCTTGCCTCTTGTAAGCATTCTTCTGTGAAGAGTCCATTATTACTACAACTTATAAGGTTCTTCTTTCAAGAAATGGTAGCCCTTCCCTCAGCACACTTGCAGTTTGGGCTAGGAACCTTTTCTGGAATGCTCATTCCCATTGCATACTGTATATTTCCATTAAACAATTTATCTTTTAAAGGGAATTTTTTTAAAATTATGTGTCTATATGAGTAAAGTTGTCTATAGAAGCCATGGATGTTGGATTCCCATGGAGCTGTAGTTACAGGCAGTTGTGAGCCCTCACTACCTGGGTGCTGGATGTTGACCATTCTCTGGAAGAGCAGGATGTGCTCTTAGCTTCGAGCCATTTCTCCAGCTCACCAGTTCTTTCTGTGCTCTAATTACCAACGTATTTGTCTTTTGCCCACTAAACAGTGAACTGAATAAGGATCAGAGCCTTAGCCATCTTTACCAGTGTATCCCAGCCCAGCATTTAACAAGATAAAGGCATTTGTTTAAAACCAAACAAAAGGGCTGGCTGATTCTCTGTTGAACCAGAACTCAGTTCTTAGTAACCATATCTGCCACTCAGTTGTCTGTGACTCCACCTCCAGGGGATCCAATACGTTTTCTGTCCCCAAGACATATACACATATGGCATACCCACAGACAAATGAATACACATATACATAAAAATAAACACCTTCATGGTATGTAATTTAATATGTCACTCTGTCCTCCAATTCTGGCATGCAGAGCATCATGTCAAATTGAGACAAGACGCTGGTCCTTAAATTGTGGTGATTTTTGTTTATGATCTAATAAAGCTTGCCTGAAGATCAGAGTACAAAGCTAGCCACAGCCATAGAGGCCAGGCAGTGGTGGTCCATACCTTTAATCCCAGCACTCAGGAGACAGAGGAAGATGGATCTCTGTGAGTTCAAGGCCATCCTGGGCTACATGAGATTGAATCAGTCTAAAAGAGAAACAGAGCTCATACCTTTCATCCCAGCACTTGGGAGACAAAGGCTGGAGGATCTCTATGAGTTTGAGGCCAGCCTGATCTACAAAGTAAGTTCCAGGACAGCCAGGGATATTACTTAGAGGAACCTTGTCTCAAAAAACAAAACAAACAAAACAAGCCATCCCAACATGGGTGATGGCTCACAAAAGCTGGGAACCTGAACACTAAACAAATTGCTGGCAGCTCAACAAGTGGGAGACTGTCTCCTCAGATACCTTGGATGTCTGAGCCTTTTCTAGGCACTTAGTTTGTCTAGGTGTGTCTCTCAGCAGTCCTTGCAGGTTACATTTGCTTGGAGAGGGAAGTACCTAATATGTCTGGTCAGTTTCAGGGACTTCCTGAAGCCTTTCAGCTGTTTTACCTCAGGTTAGAATATCCTGCTGTTTTACCCCCCTTTTAATATCCTCTGTCTTAATGAGCCGCCCTCAATGATAGAAGGTCTTAATCTCAGGAAACTGATACACATGTAGGCCCCACAGCAATCATTTTAAACATTACAAAGTTTCTTCAGGGAAAAGGCATGGAATTGAGGGTCAGGAGAACTCTCAGCCTCTGGAAACTCAAACATTTCTAAGGGAAAGGTTGAGTGCTGGACATCTTAGGGAGAGGTTTCTTGTCTTGGTGGCCACCTAGCACCAGCGAGTCCCTTCAATGCACCATAATTGCAGCTGATGCCCAATGGTCTCACCCACCCTGACTGAAGTCATACCCAACCTGGCCTGCTCTCTTATTCCTGCAAGCTGACAGTGATGCTGCAGAAGAAAACAGTTGTGAATTTGGCTCAATGAATTCTTACACATTATGTGGCATTGGTAGGTTTTAAGTTGTGAGCAAATGCACACTAATGCTGTACCTCTAGATTTGTTTAAATGCCATCAACTGGTGGCCCTCCCAAATAACAAGGGCATATTTAATGGAGTCTCTCTTGAATTAAAGCAGAATGGTATTCTGTGATTTGGCTAAGGGACCAGCTCCAGTTCATTGGCTAATCTGTACAAGTCTATATTTTATGAAGTTTTAAAAGCAACGTGCTCAGCAAGAACAGCTAACTCTAGTGCATATTGCTGTATCTGGCTGCTTCTGCTAGTGCTTAATTCTTTCCTGAGTTGCCCTGCTGCCTATGGCAGCTGATAAAGTTCAAATTCAAACCTTTCCAGAACATGCCAACAATTTGCTGCAGCTCCCACCATGTATAGGAAAAAAGGTCTAAACATATCCTACAAGAGTGTTGCTCCTCACCAGGTGTTGGTGGCACACGCCTTTAACCCCAGCACTCAGGAGGCAGAGGCAGGCGGATCTGTGTGAGTTCGAGGCCAGCCTGGTCTCCAGAGGAGTACCAGGATAGGCTCCAAAGCTACACGGAGAAACCCTGTCTCAAAAAAACAAAACAAAACAAAACAAAAACAAACAAACAAAAAAGAGTGTTGCTCCTCTGTAGATGGCACCATGGTATGGAATGTCCTGTATGCTGAAAATATGTGTTGCCTTTATTGGTTGATGAACAAAACTGCTTTGGCCTATGGCAAGCAGAATATAACTAGGTAGGAAATCCAAACAGAGATAAGGAAGAGATGGAAGGGAAAGTGGGGAGAGATGCCATCCAGCTGTCCAAGGAACATTCTGCCAGAGCACCATTGGTAAGCCATGGGCCACATAGTAATACACTGAATAGAAATGGGCTTAAATGTAAGAGCTAGTCAATAGTAAGCCTGAGCCATTGGCCAAACAATTATATTTAATATTAAGCCTTTGAGTAATTTTTTTTTTTTTTTTGTTTTTTCGAGACAGGGTTTCTCTGTGGCTTTGGAGGCTGTCCTGGAACTAGCTCTTGTAGACCAGGCTGGTCTCGAACTCACAGAGATCCACCTGCCTCTGCCTCCCGAGTGCTGGGATTAAAGGCGTGTGCTACCAACGCCCGGCTTGAGTGATTATTTTATAAGCAGCTGTGGAACACATAAAAGCCTCTGGATACCACACAGTTATAATACTACATGATGAAGTTCACCATCTCTGAACTCACATCAATGAACAAGTTAAGGCAATGTACAAGTCTGTACTTCCTAAGTCTCAAAGAGAATATACATAGACAGAGTAGCTGGCCGTGATATTTGTGGCCAAGTATAGACCAGAGTCCCTTGTGCAATTGCTTCTTCCCCTGGGGAATCCAGAGTGTTTATGCTGAGAACAGAAAGATGGTAGGGCTGCTCAGTTCCTCCACAGGCTTGACTAGGAAGGTATCTGGGAGGGAGGATCACCCATCTAAAGCACCATAACTGGTACTCTGCCCCAAAGTCTCTCTATGACTAAGTGAAGCTTCATTTCCCTCACTCTCCTCCACCTGAGATGCCAGGGCATCAGAAGAAGCCCACATTATCTTAGGAGATATAGCAACACAAATATGAACTCAATTTGCTTGTTGGTCAGTGTTGAGGACAGTGTGAAGGGAACTGTTGTATATTTGACAGTGTAGAAAACTGTGGGTTGGGATATAATTGCTACAGTGTCCTTGCTTTTGCAGATTTACTGCTTAAATAATCTGTCATCTTACTTCTTAAAGTGTTGATTAGTAGTCTTAATTCTAGGTTTGAAATTTAAATTGTTTTTCTTTTTTGTTGTTGTCGTTGCTGTCTTTTAAGCTACAGTTATCCTATTCAGCAACTGCAGTTCTGCTGCTAGCAGCGGCTAGGCTACAAGGGCTGAAGCCTGAGGGAATTCTGCTCCCTCAGGCACCGACTCTTTCAAAGCTACTAAGGAAACTTACTTAAATCTCTGTCCAGCTAAAGAACTCAAGATTCAAAGGTTGAGGTAGAATTCTGCTTCCCAGAGAGGCTGAATAGCAAGCAGCTCACCTAGCTCACCTCATCTCCTAAGAAACTCCTGTGCTTTTCTCACCCTTCCCCCGCACCTGGCTCTTCCTCACAACTTCCTGTCAGATAGTTGCTGACCCAGCCTTCTGACCACAGGCGAATTTTATTTAATCAAAACACATCGTTGCATTATTCAACAAATGTTCCAGAACACAAACAAGAGTAATACTATTCTACAACACTGAATGAGTTTATTTTTGGAGCTGTGGGTTGAATTTATACATGCTAAGTACATCCTCTACCACCAAACTTAAACCCCAGCCCCGAAAATACATTTTTAGAAACCAGCAAGTTAAAAGTACTACAAATTGTAAGTGATTGCAAATGTCTTACACTAGTCAGGTTTTAAAACTTTGTGAAATTAGCCCGGTGGTGGTGGCACATACCTTTAATTCCAACACTCAGGAGACAGAGACAGGCAGATCTTTGTGAGTTTAAGGTCTACAAATGGAACCTGGTCTACAAATCGAGCTCCAGGCCAGCCAGGATTGTTACACAGAGAAACCCTGTCTCAAAA